AGAAAATGGACATATTGAAATAAGCAGAAAATATTTTGCATATACATTTATTTATTCATTAGAAGTAGATGGAATAGTTCCTCTGTGTCAAATACTGACATAAACACTAAAAATTTGAAAATAAATACGATATGTAGTCTGTGCCCTCAAATAGCCACAAATGAGTAAACGATCCACTCTGCCAGTTGTTGTCCCCAAATTGGACAATAAACTGGTTTATCCAAGATGGAGGTGAGAAGAGATATATATTTCCTTCAGATTAACTTTGTACCCACTGTGTATCAAAATAGAGCATATAAAATGTATATTATGCTTCTATTTAAATATAGGTTACAAGTACAATGTTTCTTGTAACATTTCTGGAGAAGATGTGCATTTTGGAGGATTTAATAACAATAGGTATTTTTTGTCATCCCCTCTTTATCTGCTACCCTCCCAATAGACATATGTTCTATGTCCTTCTACACCTAAAATTCCTTTATATCTAAAAAATATAACCTTCACTGAAAGAAAGTCACCTTTTGCACAAATCGATTATAATAAWATTATGGTTTAGAGCAATGATCTTTTTGAAAAACTAAGATAACTCAGAAAGTTCCTGTGTGCAAAGCTGTGACTGACTACATATGCAGGTGTCATGGTTCACTCATTTTACACTTGAGAAATGCACACTGACCTTATTTAGATGCTTATCAGTTTACATTTTCCATCTTCAACTCAAAATAATTGATGTTGTTAAAGTAGTGCTATGATTTTTAACATTATTTTATTAGTTATTTTCCTATTTTAAATTTTTTCTTGGATTTGTCTGTAATCTTCAGAAAATATTGTCTTCAATCAGCTATTCAAAGAGGAGTGAGTCAAGCTCTTTGAAAAACATTTAAACTAGTTCTGATTGAGTGGGGATTGCATTCAGTCATGTTCTACAAAATACATTACCTTTCAACCCAGCCATGTACCACATACATTTTAATGAGAGGTAAATTTGTAAAGTGCTTCCTAAAAGTACATAGTATATATAATTTGAACAGACATGTAGTAGATGATTTGCTTACACTTATTACTTGGGGAATGAAAATTCAACCAGATAGCAAATAAATATATGCCTAAAGCTAACCAAGAGACTTTACCACTCACCCCATTTTGAAAACATCTCATAATGCTCTCTATAGTGAATACAGATAGTTTTAGATTGGAAGTTTTTACAATGGAGTCATAAATTTGGTGATGAACCTTAAATATTCACTGTAAATGTCAGATGCTACATCATTATGTTCACTGGTTTTTCTATCTGGATAGGATTTGGTATTTCCTGTTCCAAATGGCTAGAAAGTCTGGCAAGGAGAGAAAATCCCAGAAGCACAAATTTATAAAGGCAAAACAAGGTTATTCAGTAGCCARAAGCCACCCCCGGAGCACCTACCAAGGGCATGATACCATTTTAGGAGAAGCAGGTAAAGGGAACAAGGCTCCCTCATTTAAGGAACTGTCCAGCTAGTGGTTAAATAGAAGGGGAAATGCGGAAAGAGGCACCAGAGTGAAGCAATGTATTGTGGGATTCCAGAGAAGGGAAAGGTAGCATTCAGGTATGGGGCCAAAAGAGTGAGCTTGTTGGTTCTTGAAGAATAGGTGGAATTTTTATAAGCAGACTCCTGACTTGTTCTCACAGTGACAAACTGGGACTTCTAGGGAGCAAGGACATAAGTTAGCATGGGCTCCAGGTAGGAGGCTCTTCCTCTCACCCAGGCAGAATCCCATAGTGGCTTGGACCTCAGCCACAGCCACAAATAAAGGTGGAAGGGGTTTGATTCTGGATATATGATGGTAGGTAGAGCTCTAAGACTTGTCAAAAATTAGAAATAAGATGTGAGAGAAAGGGGAGAGTTGAGATTTGGGGCCCAACAAACAGGAAAGGCTGAGGGCCATAACAGAGTCAGCAGGCATTGGGTTTTAAATGTGTTACCTGTAACTCACCGATTAGACAGCTAAGAGGACAAGACAGTTATCTCTCCAGGTTTGGAGCTCAGGGGAGAAGTCCCAGCTGGAGACACAAAATTTGAAATTATCAGGTTACAGAGACTGTTCAATGGGATCCCTAGAGTAAATCTAGACAGGACACCCTGGACACAGCCCTGGCCCCTGCACTCTTTCCAGATGAAGTGATAAGGAAGAAACAACCGAGAAGGAAAAGGAATCACTAAGGAGCTAAGAAGAGAAACAAGAGAGAGCAGGGGTCTGGAAGCCAAGTTGAGGAAGTGTGACAAGAAGGGGGGCTTTAGATGTGCGGAGGCTTAGATGCATGCCGCACAGGACAGATCAGCCAAGACACCAGCTTCCACGAGCTTCCACGCTGCACTGAACACCAGTCAGTATTGACAAGCATCTCCTKCGGGCGGGCAGGGCTGGAGATACTTGTATCTTCAACTTGGTGTTGATCCTCTCAGAAACCCAGGGGCAAAATAAAATCTCAAAAGTGCTCCTGGGGCTAGACTCCAAAACTTAATGCTGGTTTTTCAAGGACATCAAGAACCCTATTTCAAGAGCCATGAAAGCTGAGCAGACCATTTTTAAGCCAAAGAAGCAGAGAAATTCCTCTTGAAGGTGTCTCTCCCACTCCACCCCACCCTCCCCAACACACAGTTTTGTCAAGGCTCATGCCTATACCAGGAACCCGGGAGAGGATCATGGAGACCTCCACGGTGAACAGAGTCCCCCATTATTTGTCCTGCTGTTTGCCCTGCCTCCTAGCCTCCAGGCCATCAGACAAGGATTCTGGAATCTCTGTGGGGTTCAAGTGTCCATTCTCCCCAGTATTCCTAAGCCACTTGAAAATTAGTGGAAACAGAGAGGTGTGGGGTGGGGTGGGCCAGCTTTGTCCTTCACCAGCATTAGATCCCCAGATGGTAATTAATATGCTAAGGGCTCCMTGGTCTCTAACTCTGCACAAAAGCAACATCTAGCCTCAGCAGAAATATTCTATTACCAAAATCTGCAGAATAAGTTTTCTCTTTTTCAGATAAGGTAAAAAATGAACTATCCAACCCTCTACCCCCTACACACATCTAGAAAGAACATTGAAAACAGAATTAAAGAATTTCACACAACAAAGCAAATTTAAGATACCCTCCTAAATAATGGCAACTTCTAAATGAGATACAAAAATGACTAAATTCCAAGCCTGAACAAATTTGAAAGGAAACTTAATATTTTACAACAACTAACATTGTGTTTGCAGCATCAGCAAAACCAAGCCTAGTGTTTATGAATACAAAGTCCACTGCACTTCTAGGACGGATGGTTAGTGTTGGCAATTTTTTTTGTGTAATTCCTCAAAAATGTAACTGAAAAGTTAACCACAGGTCAAGAGTGGACACAAGAACCTAAAATGTGTTAATCATTTGAAATACCAGAGCACCAGAGAGTTCTTGCAATTCCTTATCTTATAAATGCAATTTGGTCAATATAATAACAACCAACTACTTTTGTGTACATATAGTTTGTTGTATGCACTCTAAAAAATAGATCTTGTATCATTTAAATATTAAATAGTGATTTTACAAGACAGGTGTATCAGATCCCCCCCCAAGCTAGTCCACTAATCTCCTATTTGTTTGTGACATGAACTGACCATTTGCTTAAGTTTTCTTCAAAATATGAGGCAGTTCTACCCATAGTTTTTCTACTACCTACCATCAACTGGTGATGGTTAGAGCTTATTGGTTCCTTAAAAGGACTTACAGAAGAAAAAAATTAAAGAAGTAACCCTATGAGAAGATATATATATATATATATATATATATATATATGATCAGCAAAATCACAACTTGTCAAATAAATTTGACATTCTTGCATGACCAATGGTAACAAACAGGGTTGTGAAGCAGACATGCAATCTAATTTCACCATTATTACATTACCAGCAGCACAGAGCACTAAAGCAACTCAATAACYCAGTACTGTTCTGCCTCAATTATCTATGGCTTTCATTAAAAGTGTTTAGAAAGTCTTCATCTTGAATTTGTTCATAATATGTGGCTTTATTCTAAATTGAAAAATCTATCTTCCAGTAGATCCACAAGTCACCCAAAAGGGGTACCGAAAGGACTGGCATGAGCCCTCAAACCAATAGGGATTTGAACATTAAGCAGAAAAGGAGGAAGTAATAATTGAGAGACAGTTTTATCATGGCATATCAATATTTCCTGCTGTCAAAATATATGARATCTTTTGCACAAGGGTATTAAAATTACTTTTGTCAGACTAATAATCTCATCAGTTAGGAATCCTTTCAACTAGAGACAGCATTGGGGAAATACAGATGTTGCAGACAGAATCTATACCATCCTGCAGTTGGTTCTGTATTGTTTGTGCCTAGCTTTGTTTAAGACTGTGTAAAGGGGTCCTCAGATCCTTGGTGACTGAGTAAGGTTGGTGTGAATGTTGTTCTCTGCCCTAGGGCAGAAGGAATCTCCAAACACGGGTTAAACCCGACCCTCCCTGAGGTGAGGATTTGACACCTTCGCATTTGAAGGAGTGTGCCCTTGTGCCTCAAGTAAAAAAGGTTTTAACGGATTAACACTGATCTCTGGCTGATTGCAATGCCCGCCCGTCTGTGTGGCTTGTGAACGCACTTGTTTCTTTCATCCATCCTCCTCATTCTCTCCCTACTGCTGCCACAAGGAAATCCCTGCCACTCTTCCCTCTAGAATTCTTCAACACCAGAGAAAGTTCTCTTTCCTTACAGGAGAAACTGACTCCTATTTCCTTTGGATAAATGCGCTCCAAGGGGCACTCACTCGCGCGCTCTCTGAAGGACTTCCCTGCAGGTCCTAACTCCACGCCTTTAAGGACAGCCCAAGCTGCTCACTTGCCTCGCGAAGTGCGAATCCTGAGTGACCCCACAAAGCAGTTCAAGCGAGGCCTCGTGTGAGAGCTGGAGACTCAGGCGCCCCTCGTGCCTCTGGCACCTCTCAGACCCTCTCTCTCCCCCTCGCACTCACCAGAAGAAGGTTGTGCGCCACCAGGTACCCAAGGCTCCGGCTGCCCCGGACGCCTGGGGCCAGGCGTCCGGTGGCGTAGCCGTGCCAGGCCACCACGTAGGGGTTGTCGATGGTGATCCAGTATTTGACCTGGCCACCGAAGTGGCGGAAGCAGAGCTCGGCATAATCCCTGAAGTGTTCCGCCAGGGCGCGGTTGGCCCAGCCTCCGTAGGCGTCCTGCAGGCGCTGGGGCAGGTCCCAGTGGTACAGGGTGACCACGGGCTCCACGCCCAGCTCCCGCAGCCGCTCCAGCAGGCGCCGGTAGTACCGTAGCCCCTCGCGATTGGGGGCTCCCGCGCTGCCATTGGGGAGCACCCGCGCCCACGAGATAGAGAAGCGGTAATGGGTGACTCCAAGATCGCGCAGCCCCTCTGTGTCTCGGAAGACGTTGTTGTAGCCGTCGCTGGACACGTCCCCTGTGGCGGGCGGGGAAGGTGATGGAGCGCCCGACGGCAGATCAGCTGTCGGGGGATCGCCCAGGGTCCCCGGAGGGTGATGAGTGAACGTGTCCCAGATGGATGCGCCCTTGCCGTGCTGCCTCCAGCCACCCTCGGTCTGGTAGGCGGCGCTGCCCACCGCCCAGAGGAAGCCGTCGGGGAAAGTGTCGTGGARCAGGTCTGCAGCCTCCGGAGCCGCAGGGCGCGCGAAGCGGGCCCAGGTCTGCGCGCCGTCGCCGGGCTCGGCGCGCAGGCAGCGGCCGCTCAGGGCCAGYAGCAGCAGCAGCAACCGCTGAGGCCGCGGGGTGCGCAGAGGGGCGCGGGCCGGCATGCTGCGCGGTAACCTGGTGCTGGGGCCCCCTGCCGTGTCCCTTTATGCCTGCGTCGCTCAGTCCMGCCCGCCCCAGCCGGCGCCCACCCCCGCTCCCCATGGGCCCCCGCTGGCAATAATTACCTATGAGCAGGCGCCTCCCTCCGCCCTGGCATGGGAGGGGGGACCAGGGCGCAAAGGGCGAGGGGCGCCCCGGGACGCAGCGCGACAGCCGGTCAAGTGCGGCCAGGGTTGATTGCGGACGTCGGAGGAAGGGCACCTGTTCCTCGCAGATCGTGGGAGCCCCACAGGATATTTCCGCGACGCTCAAGTTCTGAGCGCCACCTTCTCTTTGCCATCAGCGAGCCCTCCTGGGAGAAACAGTGGCGCCCAACTTTCCCCCATTTGGCGCGGGGTCTTCGCGGGGCCGTCACGGAGCCCACCGGCGGGCAAGCACCTGCTTTCYCTTTTCTCCGATTTGGAGGACGAGGGAAGCTTGGGATTGACTTTGACATTGCTAGGAATCGTCTTGACATTGTAGAGGGAGGGTCACGTTGGAACTTTGCCTTGTGCTTAGAGAAAGGTTATGTGGCAGATTTTCCCTTAGGTAAAGTGCTTTCAGAGAGATGCACCCCACCTTGGCATCAGGAGAGGGATGGCCCTTCCTTGCCCGCCCCGCCCCCATCGTCTAAGAAGCCTTAGAAAGGCAGAAAGATGGTGCAAAATAGATTTATGGGTTGCGCTAGGTTTTTGCTTCTTCCCCCACCCCCACTCACYTTTTAACCATTTTAAACTAGCACTAGTTCTTTAAATGGATCTCGGAATTCCCCAGTGAACTTCAAATCACAAATGTTGATTGTTCTTCTGGGAGGTGGGGGGAAGGAGCAAAAGTACAGAAACAAAACCACCAAGATTTGACTTTGAGTACATCTCATCAACTGTTTTTACTCTTTTGCATTCATTTTATATACAATCACTTTTCAGCTTTCAGTTCTGACTTAGCAAGAAACTTACCTAGGCAAAGTTATGCACTGACTCAGCTGTACTGGAGCCTAAGGCTCCCAGGGTCCCACATTTGCTCCCTTTTCTATAGAGGGAAAGGGAAAGGAGATTTAGCACAACCATTCCCAACCCCTACAACAAAATAGTGCTGTAACAATTTTCCAGTTGCTATAAAGCCCTTCAGACAAAAGTTAGGTGCCAGGACAGCCATACTCATGTGTGTGTATATATACATGTACCTACATATAAATACAGGAATGGTGAATAATTGATATACATTTGCTGACATAGAAGCCCTGGATGCCACTTTTGTGATTTGGAACAGAGCAATCTCTCAAAGCTCAAGTTTACTCTTCTATAAAAGGAGGATGGACTGTCTGACCTGTCGCTTCAGAGGATTCTGGTGCTCGAATGAAAATAAATGTACATAAAGGTGACTCAAAAATGGAAAGCCCAGACAAAGGAAAAATCTTGCTAACAGCTAATGTTTTTACCTTCCTATTCAGTGTGTTATAACTCACTCCCTGCCCACCCACACATGTGTCGMATGACTAATCTCTTCACAGAGGTACCTGCATTCTCACTGGTGATCTCCCTTGCACTGTCTCACACAAATTTAAAGGCAATGAAGTTTTAAGTGTTGCAGACAAGCTACTTTTATTAATTCCCTTGAAATGAAAGCACAACAAATTTATTGCAGTATTTTATTAAATATTCCCAACTCCAGCTAGCATACATTATCATGATTAGTAAGATTAAGTMATCAGACTGGAAAAAAGGCTTATTGCTATTCTGTTAAATGTGCTATTTACATTTTTCAATAAATGTAAAATAACAAACAATGATACCTCGGCAATTAAAAAAATTAYACCACACAACTGCACAGTTACCCTCCCTTCCAGCTACATTAAAAAGCTTCTACATCTTGCATCACCTTTCCCTTTCAGAACTGAAGAGCTGAAGATTAGAGTGTTTGCTGGGTGGGAGCTTGTTAATTTTCAATTAGAAATGCTTGATGAGTCTCGTGGAGAATAGCTTAGGCTRAGTATTCACTTATTGATGTAAGGTCTGTTTGTTTGGGGGAGATTGTATCTATTGCTGTTTTTATTTAATCGATAGCTTTTTAAAGTTTCTTTTAGAGCAGTGATTAAAAAGTGGGATCAAGTTGATTAAATGCTTCACATCTCAAATTCACCTAAAGGGAACATAAGTCACATGCATCTCTTAGGATGGACATCAACCCTTCAGCATTTGCAGTTTTCCCCGGTGATGGCTAATTTAACCCAACAGAAAAAAATCATGTGATTGCTAAACTTTATTTTTTGTTTATCAAAGTTCCATTCATGATTAATAAGTTCTGGATTCCCAAAGTGTGAATAAGTACTAATGCTGCTTTTCATGTGTTTGGTTTTATTTTTGTTTTTTGGTTTTTACCACCTTCAAACATTTACCAAGTTGGTTTCACATGCTTTGTTCCCTTGCCTATGAGAGACTAATTACTTGCTGTGCTTTGAATATGAAGGTGGAATTATCTGTACATGGAAGGAAAGGACGTTTTAAAATTTCCTTTTACTGGGGTCCTACAGCCTAAAAGTGGCCAAAATTCTGATTATTTTTCCTCCATTCTCCACATTCTTTCATCTAGTCCCTTTGCAGCTATTCTCCTGCATGCTTCTGGGATCATAGGATCCTCCACCACCAAAGGAACAGAAAGAGGTTCACTGATTCTCATGAACCCAAACACATACCAATCTCACCAGTCAATTCACCAGCAGCAGACTCTCAGCCTCCCTGGAAGGTGTTTCTRTGGGCACCACCATTTCATTAAGCAACAACCATGAACCAACCACACAACTGTGAAGTGCTTAGACTTGGAAACATAAGTGACAGCCCTGGCCCTCAAAAGCAATGTGTAATTGGAAAGAAAGGATAAAGCTGACAATAAATAAGTGGTTTCGTTTGTTTTATTTAGTGTCGATAAATGACACTTTAAATAGCTGTTAGAAAAATTCAGAAAGAGGAGAAATTACTCCACTTTGAGTTAGTTGGAAAAGTTTCTCAGAGAATATAGGGCAATATCGGGGCTTAAAGAATAAAATTTGCAAAGAGACTTGGAGGCAGGGAACCCAGGACAGCAATGTGTTGAAGAAGAAAAAGGTTCACAGTGTATTTATGGTGGAAATAAGTTCATATGTGCAAGGAAATAGAGGACTGAAAAGTCAGATGAGGGCAGATTATTAGGAGTCTTTAATAGGTTTCATTTTATTCTACTTCCCTGGTTCAACTCTGACAAGCCAAACAWAATTGAAAAGAAAGGGACACTGGAGTTTAGAGCTGCTCTGAACTAGCAAATTCTTCATTCAGGGAGGTTTTCAGAACCACCAAATATCAGGCACACCTCCATACAGAGCTGGAGAGGCAACAGGGGGGCATTCACACCCAGCAGCAGCCTCTGTCTGCTTATCTGTAAGTGAAACAAAAGTAAAAGTGATTTACATTTTCCAAGATCCCAATTTCAAACTCAGGAGTCACCTAGAGTTTTTGAGTAGAAGAATGTAAGGGCAAACTGTAAGACGCCTCAAGTTATTGTAATMAAGGGGCAGTATTAATTAGCGAGTCGATTGACTTGGCGGTAACATTCAATATTAATTAAGAGGAGATCCTGRGATCTAGAAAACACTTTGAAAGCAACTGTAGTAACCTGGATAATGGACTAAGGAAGGCTTATGCCCAGGCATGGTTTAAAATGCAAARAAGAGAGGGAAAGGTGCAAGAAAATACAAAAGAAGGCAAATGAAATATGGAAGGTAGGAGAGGAGAAATTAGAGGTGATTTACATAGTTTGAGATGAGTTGAAATTAAAAATGACAGGAACATAAGTATTGCRTAAGTACATCAGGAGGTATCATTAATTTGGGCAAAAGATGTGTTCAATGTCAAACAGGTTGAATTTGTAGTATCTGTCAAAGATATAAATGAAGATATCAAGCATATAAGTGGAGATATAGAWTCAAAACTCCAGAGGCAGTTACAAATGAAAGAGTTAAGACCAGAAACTTTGATGCCTGAATACTGGACAAAATGAGGGCAGTAAAAGACATACAACTAAAAAGAAAGAACTGACTGAAGCCTGGTGTATTTCTCCATCTGGGGAGATGGGTAGGATGGAGTAAGAAAGGAAGCCAAAACAATTCTTAAAAAAAAAAAATACTGAAGAATATCAGAAGCTCCAGGGTCCCTGTCAAGGTTAGATAAATATTTCAAAACAGAGATTGTTACTAAAAGCTCAGTCCTTGTCCCCAGTGCCAATCCAGTAATGAGGACACTGTTTTGAGAAAAAAGAAGAAAGGTTTATTGCTTTGTCAGCAAAGGAGAAACTTGGGGGGAGGGGGGACTCCTGTCCCAGAAGCTGTGATTCTGACTATCAGCAAGAACAGGAAGCTTTTAAAGAGGGATTCAAAGGCTACATTCCCCATGTTCTCTGTTGGAGTGGCCATTCCTTGTTAATTTGGGAGATAGTGATTTCTGAGATCTTCTGATGCCATCCCAGAGTCTGTATGTATGACTTCCTTCCTGTGGTGGGTGTGTGCTCAAGGACAGACAACTCTGTCTAGGATGGGGAAGAAAGATAACCCTGTTTCCCCAGAGATTAGGGAGGGGGAGAGATTAAGGAGGAGCAGGGAGAGAGGAAGAGAAAGTTGCCAGCAGCAAGGGCTATATTCAAAGCATAAAGTGGGCCACTGTTACAAGATGATCCTAGAAAAGAGAACAGATCTAGAGGTWAACTCATGGTGATTAAATTTTACTTTTGCTTTGCTTTTCTCAGTTGTAATGGGAACTAGACCAGATTAGAATGTAAAGCATTAATGAGAGTCTGTGGGAGGCAAAAACATCAAGAACACACTCTTCTGAAAAGTTTCCCAGTAAAAGGAGTGAGAAGAGGTGTCAGTTGTGGGGTTAGCAGAGTTCACAGAACAATTTTCTCAAGATGATCAACTCTGTCAACAGTTGTGCTCAGA